CCATAATGGTCAGTAAAGAAACAAAACATGCTAAACAACATTATGTATGTCTTTCTTTATCATCTGTTCTAGATGTGGTTATATAATTTAATTTTGATTTGCCTTTTTTTTATTTACTAGCCTTGATTTTCTTTCACAACTTGCATAAAGCAGATTTAACTTTCGATGTTTATAGCCATATTCTAAATTAAGGGCTTTTAAGAATATTTTATGGCGTTATTAAAACACCTGTCAATTACGAAAAGAGTTACGTCATTCAAGCACACATCCGCAATAGTGTGGTAAGGAGACCGTGTTATTTGTTCAGTCTTCGTCAATTCCGGAGAGTCTGCTAATTGATGTCTGTAACTATAAGCTCGTATATTTTTTTATGAAGGCAAATAGCAGTTACAAATTTTAACTTATATTAAATAGATAGACCAGTCGTACACATGAGCAAAACATTCTTTGTCAATCGAAGTATTGTATAGAGATATCCCAGAACTTCGACGCCTTCAATAAATTCGATTAAAATGTTTCTGATTCAAGTTGCCCTGTAACATATCAAGGAACAATTTACTTGAACTTGATAGGTTAAAACTGCCAAAGAGGTTTTGTGCACTGGTTGCATCGTGGTTTGTTTTGACTGGGAGATAGTGTTTACATGTTCAGCATGTAGCAGACGCTATTTATCTGTTGGCTGATACAAATACATCCTTAACATTTCCTGTGTTAACATATTAGATTGTTATCAGTTATACAACATCTGATTCTGTTCACAGATAAGTACCGAAAAATGCAAAACTATCAAAGTACACATAAACATGCTTCAATATTTAAGTATTTGGAGTTCGATTTACAGTAATGACAATGTACGTAGGTGATCTGCAGGTGATCTGCAGGTTGAAAAAGCTAACAGTATTTGATCGTTAATGTGTAGCTTTATTTATTTTTTTTTTTTAATTTCTCGAATCTTTTTGACAACAACATACTTTATAAACTAAAAATAGTGACAATGCAGGAATAGATAACCTTAGCTGTATTTGGCACAACCTTTCGGAACTTTGGGTCCTCATTGCTCTTCAACTTTGCACTTAATATAGCCTTTTAACGTTTTTGATTCGACCGTTACTGATGAGTCTTTTGTATACGAAACGCGCGTCTGGCGTACAAAATTTGATGCCTGATATATCTTATGATGAGTTTATCTTCGACTACTGAATATATATTCATTTTTGGTCGGGTTGGACGAAGTCGATTGGTAACTTTGGAATCTTTTTCAGCAAATTTTATGAAAGAGAGAGTACAAGTTTTGTGTAATCACCCCCTCCTACAGTTTTCAACTCAGATTCCTGAAACTTCATAGGAAGATATGTTGAAATCGTGCACCTGCTATTATTATTATTGTTTGAACATTTTTTCTCATTTTTCCGGACTTCGGAACATAATCATTTTTCAGCAAAATTAATAAAAGAGGGTACAGGTTTTCAAATTCCCCTTCAGTTTTCAACTCAGATCCTTAAAAAAAGGGGCATTAGCTACGAGATATAAAAAAAAATTAAAATATGATTTTTTTTTCAATCATTAATGAAAGTGAAAAAGTGAAATAATAATTCGCTTTTAGCAGGAAATTTGGTTCAATTTTGTCAAAATAAGCTAAGAAACATTGCTGATGAATTATTCAATTGCAAGTGAATAATTCGACCTCTTTAAATCCGTATTCATGTGACCTTCAATTTAACCCCTTAGCTTGAGATTGGTTACGCATGCATTCGGCTATTAAAAGGAAAAGAATGTCAACATTGAAAGTGAAACAAAGATGAACCATTTGGTTGACTGATTCGATCCACAAAATATCATTTTTATACAGGCAAAAACCATGATAAACATACTTTTCAACTTACAATATGAAATCAAACAGACCTAGAAAAATCCAATTGCCCGTGGTTTCTATCTATTTATATTTATTTTTATGTTTATATCGGGATATATGACCATCGGCAGTCTTCGGAGGTTATCTCGATGGTTAATTAGATGACGTCTAAACAAAAATACACATGAAATGTTGATACATATTATCGAGTCTATGCATTATAAATTGTTTATTTTAGACTTTTTGTAATTTGGATATACGTTTTAGTATGTTATAAATCAAACATGAGAATTTGAGTCAAATCGGTGAACATGAATTTGACATGCCCCTTTAAGACTTCACAGAAATATTGTATTCATTAAGAAGTTGTGCACCTGCTATTATAGAATTGTTTGAAGATTTTTTTTACATTTTCTCGACTTCTACATTTATCATATTATGCAACATATTTCCTTTAAATCTTATGGCCTAACTGTTTCTTTCCAATAAAGAAATGTAAGAGAAAGATATTGAGTGAGTTATATTAGATTTGGAAATGCCATCTTCAATTATCAAAGCTGTGTGCAGCATATTCTTTTCTATGCACATATTCAAAGTTCTATATTTATACGTTGTACTTTCTTTATAGAAATTGCACGTATTATATTCAGTATTTCAGCTGTGATGAAACGTACGATGAAATGGTGAAGATGTTTTTTTTTTCAGTCTTAGTAAATATAGGCGAGATTGATATTTCATATGATTCTCATTAGACTAAAAGTTAATATGTGATACCTATTCCAGTGTGCCCACATGTTTCTGAAATGAACCTTCATTAGACAAGCAGACTTCGAGAAGCCAAATGTATAAAACATTTGAGGCCGTATTACAATATCTGATCAAATCAAACGGGAGTATACATCTGTTCAGATCACGAAATCAAAGTTGTAGAAGAACAAGCTGTAAAGCTAATTTATAGTCCTTCTACATGTTGATCTTGGAATAATTGAACGATTTGCTTTGATTTTCTGCTAATGCAGTTATTATTTCATACTGATTCATGCCTTAATTGATGCTTGTACTTCGCATCTGTATGTATAATTGAACTTAAAACTGAACGTGTTGGAAATGAAAAGTACACTTTAGAAAATAAAAAATAACATACATTTTTGCAGTTCTAATTAACTATTAGAGATATCATGTTCCCTCCAAAAGCATCTTTAACAACAACAAACCGACAAGAGTCACCCACCATTGCAACAACAAGCCGACAAGAATGACCAACCATTACGAACCAACATCACCCCCCCCTGACGTAATAACAACAAAAAACCGACAAGAATGACTCACCATAATGAACCAACACCCCCCTCCCCCCAACAAATTAAACAAGAACCATATAACAATGTATATTCACAAAACTATAATTTTCTTAACTCATATTATTTAATAAAATCTGAAAATAAAGTAAACTATTTTTATATAGCCTTAATTTATTTAAATTGACTTGTCTGTCAAAAGACGAAAGCTTCGTTTAACATTTTGAAAACAGTTGACGTTAATAGCACTGCTTTGAAATGATCTGAAGATAACTAAAACTGAAACTCCGCGATCAGACACACTTTGTTCGAATTTTTTTTTTAACTAAAATCTATTTTTTTTTCAGAAAGAATGATACAATTTATGAATAAGGCTTTTTCATTAAATGCTAGATGTTAAACGATAGAAATGCGATATGTTGATCTGTATAATCATACCCGGCATAACTCGAACTTCCCCATTTAACTGAAACTCATTGTAATCATAGAACACTCAAGTTATATGAGGAAATTTAAAGATATGGAAAATACAGAAAAAAAAACTATTCCATTCAAGTTTTCTTTTGAGGACACTGAATTTATCTCATTTATACTAGTTTTTCTTCTGTTTAAGATTTTATTATTTACAACTTGATGATTTTCTACATTATTTATTTCACTCTTCACGAACGACACCACCGGCAATTGTAAATAAAAAACATCTTTTTATTAATAATATTATGTATGGAATTATAAAATTTACGTCTCTATAGGTTCCTTTTTTGGAAAAGTTAAGCTTCTTTCCAATATAAAGCTAGAAAAGTCATCTTGAATGTTTTTTTATTTATTTCAAACGTTTTTTTATTGCAGTATGTTTTTATTACAATGTATTTTTGGTGATTTTTCTGTATAGATGATAGGAATGACTGGTTTTAAGGCATGTGTTATGAAGTCCAAGAGGCTTAATATCATATACCGGGATGGTTATTAACTTGTTAAAGTGACAAATAAAGGATACTTCATTTAAATTAAAACTTGTGATGAAAAATTCTAGGAAACAACGTTATTATCAGTTATTGTCAAGATTCTTCAGAAATTGATCTCTAGAGGGAAATTTCTTGTGAAAATAGCTATTATTACATAATGATGTATTAGAAAAAATAGTATTTTTGATGAATAAATAATCTTTTGTCAAATTGGATGAAACTCAAAAGTCAATGTTAACGTTAATATTATTAAGAATATGAAGTTTGGGAACAATAGAACAATTGCCGAGGAATGAACAAAATCACTTATTTTAAAAAATATAGATATTGTTTATTGACATTTGTTGTTATGAAATTTTTGAAATCATTTTAAATTAAGGAATGTATCCAACTCATGCATACATAGCTCTGATTTAATACCGGGGTTTGACTTTACTTTTGGGTTTTTTGGTTTTTATCAACTCTCCAATTAGGTTTTGTGATTTTCAATTATTTTGGCCTCGAGCATCACTGAAGGAACATTAATTGTCGAAATGCGCATGAGGTGCAGTAAAATTGGTACCGTTAATGTTGTTATTGCATTCGTCAAAAGGGGACTCCTGTATCTTGATATACGGATTTCTTTTTTTACCAGTTTCGATAAAAAGAAATGCAAATATCCGTCCCTCCTCATTCCCACCATAGGAAATTATGACTTTCAAAATGAAAAGTAAAAGTAGAAAAATGGCTAAATGTTTCAGAAAATGAAGAAACAGTTGGAAACCTTTCTTCATAGGAAGGAATAGGGTCCACGCGGCACTATATTTCAAATTGATCTCTTTACATATAAATCTACTAAATTTCCCTTCAATTATACTTTTTTCATTCCATGTTTTATATTTTCAGGAAAAGCTGCTGCTAAGTGTACTCCCGCAGCACGTTGCCATGGAAATGAAGGACGATCTAACATCACAAAATACTCAGGGACAGTTTCACAAAATCTATATACAACCTCATGAAAATGTTAGGTATGTTTTAAATAGTATCCATGACAATAATTTGGGCTTTAACGTGTTGTATAAAGCTGATGTAGGAATATTTTTAGCTTCTCTACTCTCCATGCCACCAACACAAAAACACAACGCAATAAAAGCGCTGTTTCTTTTCCCCCTCATGTACATGTATTGATTTTGTGTCATGAATTGATAAAATATATATCCTTTTTTTCTAATACAAACCAACAAAACAAAAAGCACAACAACAAATACATGACATCAACAACATAATTACAACACAAAAAAAAAACCCACAAAAGCAAATAAACGTCGATAGCCAATTCGTTTACATATGCTTTGTATTCCGTAAACTGGAGATGAATTTACATTATTAACAGGCCTGAATACAACCTGTCGACTGACCTTTCTGTGGTGACATGTTTGCTCCCGTCAATCTCCTAAGCACTTTACAGTTGTATTATAATTGATTTGCTATTTTTTGCATTGTTCTTGTAGAAGATTGATTAGATGTTAAACTTTTCGACAATCTAAAAAAAAATCTTACAAAACAGCAAAAGTAGTTAAAAGATTTCTTTATTATACTATTTTTATGCGTAAAAAAATATACATTAAGGGTCTATTGTTCAGAGAACATTTAGAAATTTTACATACTCTTTTCTTCATTTAAAACTTTTGCTGAAAGAACTTGGTAAAAATAGCAGTTTGGGAAATATTTTGATTTTAGTATACAAGGTCAAAAGACCATTGTGTCCCGGGTATCTCTGATCTTTTGTCATTTTCATGTTCATACCCGTGGAGCCTATAATTTGTACCGTATGAAATGTATTTTATTACATATGTATTTATCGTTACCTGTGATAAGGAGATGCACTCTGTTAAATATGAAAATTGATATTCAAAGATTGAGCTTATTTGCATATCCAATCGAGTTAGATATATTACAAGCAAATGATCTGTTTTGCATAACCCGTGCTGCATATTTACTACAGTATAAACATAAGAAGATGTGGTATGATTGCTAAGGAGACAACTCTCCTCGAGAGACAATATGGCGTAGAAGTTAACAACTATAGGTCACCGTACGGCCTTCAACAATGATCAAAACCCATATGCATAGCAAGCTACAAAGGCCCCGAAATGACAAATGTAAAACGATTCAAACTAGAAAACTAACGGCCTGATCAATGTACAAAACAATGTACGAAAAAAAAATATGATATACAGCAACAAAAGACAAATATTGAAGTAAAGGCTCTTGACTTGAGACAGGCACATATGGGGTTAAACATGTTTGCTGGCGCCAAATCCTCCCCCTAACCTTGGACAGTGGTGTAACAGTACAACATAAGAACAAACTATTAAAATCAGTTGAAAAGGGCTTAACAAGATCGACACAAAGCATAAAAAACTGACAAAAACTCAAGAGACACAAAGTACAGACCTGAGAGTACTCGCAGTTACTGAAAGCTAGTTCAAAGCCCATAACTACTAATAAAAAAATCTTGTATCTTAAACTAAAATATCAATCAGTACACATTTAACATCCAATGGATTTAGTGTTAAGACGTCATTAACAGTCAGAGAAAAGCATGATTTTGTGCAATGCCAAAATATATAGGTATCGACAGATTGTAGGACCGTGAATGTACTAATGTGCATAACAATAAGATTAAGTTAGCTTTTGATTTATTGATAACGAAATTTATACCGATAAAACATTAGTCAATGATCTAATAATGGTGTTGAATTGGTAAACTTTTAGAATAAGTTTATTTAAAGAATCGATAAGTTTACCCGAATCGTATCTAAATTTACGGGCAGGTTTGGTTGTACTTACCTTATTTTTTTCAGTATATTTTTTGCTGACATAGTTGGATTTACTTACCTTATTTTTTTCAGTATACTTTTTGCTGACATAGTTAGATTTACTTACCTTATTTTTTTCAGTATACTCTTCGCTGACATAGTTAGATTTACTTACCTTATTTTTTTCAGTATACTTTTTGCTGACATAGTTAGATTTACTTACCTTATTTTTTTCAGTATTCTTTTTGCTGACATAGTTGGATTTACTTACCTTATTTTTGTCAGTATTCTTTTCGCTGACATAGTTAGATTTACTTACCTTATTTTTTTCAGTATACTCTTCGCTGACATAGTTGGTTTTACTAACCTGTCATCACACTGCACAGCTCAGGAATTAGTTCGAATTTTAAATGAACTTTTTGGACGTTTCGATTATTTAGCGAAGGTAAATATGCTTAATATTAAGTATTTCAATTATTAAAAAAACACGATTTGTTATAAACCAAGCTGACCAAAATTTTTAATAAAATAATCATAACTAATAAGTATGAAAGTTGAAATATGATTTTGACATCAATTTCTTAGTTTGCACAGTTTATAAATACAGGAATGTAATCTTGACGTTTGTTTTTTCAAATTTGTATAATGAATGAAAATAATGTGAAGAGTGTTAGTTGTAAGTAGAAAATCCATAACTTTTACCATTTGTATTTATTTGCGAAAACATATTACAACGTTTTATTTAAACGTTTTATTTCTCTATGATAATATCTCTGTGAATGCACTGGATCTTTTTGAAGTTAAAACTAAAAAAACTGTCTTACATTGTACATGTTGTAATCTATAGATATATTATTTCAAGCATTTTTTTCAAAGACTTTCCATACATAGTTGTTTATGAAAAATTATGCTACGTCCACCGTACATATAAAAGAGACATAGTTAAACAATTTTCATAAGTTAGCAGAAATGGCATGATTTCATTAAAATACGAATAGACGCATTTCGAATTTGATCAAATGTAAAAGTTCAAACACGTTATAAGACAGTAGTTTAAACACGGTATGCACAGTCAATATACAAATATTATGCAATATTACAGTAAGCTTGATTGAGATAACTAACCCGTTGCATACTATATAATGGATAAAAAATAACAACATTAGACGATTTTTTTAATTTAGGTTGATCTTCATCTTAGCCAAATTCAGTTAAACTAATTTGATTAAATCCAAAAACACAAAAATCCGGACTCGCTCTCCAAGAAAAAAAAACAAACCAAAACATATACAACTATGAACATCGAAAAGATGAAACAAAGGCAAATATACAAAAAAAATACATCTACTTTATAATCTTTAAAAACCCGCCAGCTCGGTCTAATATTTAACCTCAAGTTACTACTTTCAAACTTAGAAACCAAGTTTTTTTTTATACGACAGTTGAGTTTAAATTCAAACCACCGAAAATCGAAACCAGCACCTGGTATTTAATATGTATTCACTTTGTTCTCTACAGAAAGCTGCAATACATTCTCATAAACCAGCTGTATTTCTAATATTGATCAGGGTACGGAAAATATGCACTTTCCATCAAAAATATAGACTCCCTACAGAGAAAGGTTATCATTAAAACCTAGTTAGTAATGATACACATGTGTTAGTACCATGTGGTCGTCATCCGCTCGACATGATTTACTCTTACCATAAAATCACAGTTCTTGATCACATTTATGTATTTGTCTTCATCAATCCTATAATTTATGTGTATCTAGAAATTCAAACTTTCTGGGCTTTTATAGATGATTATGTTGTATGGGTTTTGCTCATTGTTGAAGGCCGTGCGGTGACCTATAGTTGTAAACTTCTATGTCATTTGGTCTCTGGTGGAGAGTTGCCTCATTGGTAATCATACCACGTCTCGAAAAGTTTCGATCATTTATATGTTTATGTCTTTGATACGGTCCCGCTATGGATAGGCTACCACGTGACATTGTATAGTTCAACAATCGAAGTTCATTTGTAGATCGGAAAATTAATAAAAATAAAGACTTGATTGCAATTAAAAAAATCAATAATCATTTAATTACTACGTTAATTATTTAATTTCGTTTTAGTAAATATGGTTTTATAAGTCTCTGCTTATATTTTGTATAGCTATATATTCATATAAAGGAAATTCAGACTTGAAGAAGAGATTGATTTAATAAATAAATTGTCCATCAGTAAATACTTGATGTTTGTTTTTATTGGTATTATATTTTTAAATTTTCGGAAATGATTCATTAACAGGAATGTATGTTAATTAAATTTCAATTCTTTTTGTTTTGTTTTTAATAGTTTAACCTCAAAACATCTTAATCTTTTCAATATGGTGCGATTTCGAAAATTGTGTATTCAGTGGCGGATCCAGGGGAGAAGGGGGGATTCAGGGGATTGGAACCCCCCTATTTTGACGATCAATGCTTTTGAATGGGGACATATGGTTGGAACCCCCCTTTCTCCTGGGTTGGACCCCCTTTTAAAAATTGCTGGGTCCGCCCCTAGTATTCATTGTGTTGACCAGCTATCATACACCCGTCTTGATTTATTTTCATTATATTACACCCTGTTCACACGAAACAACATCGGTTTGCGTTTACAGAAATTTCGGATTAAATGGCCATGAATCCGGAGTCAAAACACTTGAGGTAGGCAGTTTGACATCCGGATTCAACTAGCATTAGATTTTAGCCTATAGAGTGAATATACGTGATGACACAAATGCGTATTGTTATCCAGAGTATCAGTGCGTATGCTTTTCACTTACTATTTCTTGCGCTGCGCAAGAAAACCACATGCATGCAAAGATATTAATTTCACTCGCGGACTATGAATTTTCGCATTTCTTATCTAAATTCAGGACACGGCAGTTAGAGGTGGACATGTGACGTTGAATCATGGTCATCATAAGTTGAGGTATTCTGACCTCTAGCTGTTTCTCTTTTCTTTTTCTTTTTGTTTGAGTGACTGTCCTATTATAAACTTTGAAATTCTTAAAATACTAAGGATTTTCCTCCCAAGGAATAAATTAGATTACCTTAGATGTATTTGGCTAAACCTTTATTTCGAAATTTTGGTTCTTCAATGCTCTTCAACTTTGTACTTTATTCGGCCTTTTTAACATTTTTTTATTCAATGGTCACTGATGAGTCTTCGTAGACGAAATGCGCGTCTGGCGTACAACATTTTAATCCTGGTATCTATACATTTTTATATATCTACATAGGATACATATCTTTTTTTTTATATTAATTGGTTCTTTTGAGAGCATATTCAGGTATTTATAAATCTTCTTCAGAACTAAGTTTTTCCCATAGAATATTTGGATTGATTAAAGTAACTTCAAGAAATCCTTAACATTTGAGATGTTTTTATAGACCGAAACAATTGTCAGTTTATAAGAGGTCCCAATGTAGCTGGTGTGTTGCTCTCAAAACTAAAACACGAAACATTGTTATAAGTTGCATGTCACAGAGTTACACTTCACATGGAAATTGGACTTTCAATTTCTCTATACAACATCTACCGTGAGTACAGACGACAGCTTCAATAATGAGTATAAGAAACATTTGAAGCCATCAAGGAAACAAAATATGAAGATATGACAGACGAAATAAATGCATCCAGATTATTTTAGCAAACTAAGTGCTTAAATTAATATTGCGATTGGTCTGTGCAATTTGCTTTAGACATTCGGTTTGCAGAAACTAAAAATTGCAATAGGATTGGGACTCAGTTGTATGTATATTAAACACGAAGAAAAACTGATGTACACTCCCAAGTAATAAATAGAAGTCAAGCCTTAAAAGTAAATCCATATAGTAGCTGTATACATTTTTCTATTTCCAACTAAAGTACAACATCGCTTTTACTTGACTTGTGTAAGAATCTACACACAATTACATATTTTCAACAAAGGTGTTTTAACATCATCGGTATATTATTCTATTCAGTCAATTATTTCAAATCTAAAGACAAAACAAAATTCAACAACATTTTTTTGGTTACAAGTCAGCGGTTTCGGGTTCACGTGTGTATCTAGGTCAATTATAACGTGGTATTGTGCATTGTCACGATAACATGTAAACTAATTATGTCTGAAGATTTAACCACGTGATATTGTGTATTTTCATCATAGACTTAGGAGAGAACATTCTGGTTTAAATATTTATATTAGATCAGGAAACAGAAAGATAATATTATTATCAAAAGTATTTAATTTAATTAATTTAATAGAAATCAAAGAAATATATACAAAATATATACTGTATTTATGTTTCTGTAGAAACTAACAATAGTTGAAGTCAGAATATTTTCAGAGTTGCAATTAAGAAATAAATATTCTATATGACAAGATACTCTACTTTGGTATTTTTAGTAAGTAAGTAAGTAATCTTTATTTAAAGTCGGGATGCATATACACATAATAACAAAGAACATGAGCTCTTAAGAGCTCTTTAACCGACTGATATTAATAAACAAAACATACATGTAATAACATCAGATTCATAAACAACACAAACATACAGACAGCACATACATGTATTAATCATGTCAATACATAGATAGCACAAGCAAAATAAAAGCTAGGCAAGATATATATTAAAACAAATGTCAAATATCAGCACATAGTAACACATAATATGTGTATCCAAGTAGAACATGCAAAATTAAACACTATAAAGCACGAGCAAAAGACTGCAAGCAGCTACAGCACAGGTAATGCATAAGCAAAGCAAATAAATAATAAATAAAAATAACTGCAAAAAATAAAAAATAAAAACATAAAACAAACAGCAGGCTTCAAGGTCAAGTCATGTGGCAGCAAGGAGTTACATTATTTACAAGAACTGCAGGTACAACTTTCTGAAAAACACCACGTGGAGATAAAATTTTTGAACTGGCCAAAAGTTGATAAACTCTTTGCCTCGGTTGGCAAGGAGTTCCAGAGTCTTGCTGCCTCATAACTAAAGCTTTTCTTACCATACCTTGTTGTTTTTTGCCGTGGTATATCCGCTATGCCTTTGTACCTGAAGTTATATGAATTTTCTTTCATGTTTATTAAATTATGTAGGAATTCTTGACTTGATTTATTAATTATTTTATAAGTCTCTAATGCCATGGTTCTCATTCTTCTGATTTTTAGTGCTGGTAACTTAGACTGTTTAAGGAGTGTATCGTAAGAATTTTTGTAGTCATCATAAATGATATTCATTTGTAAATGAAACATAATAATTAAATCTGAATAAATCCTTGCATCCTACAAAGAAAATGTTGATCAACAATAATCATTATATTTCTACGTTAATTATTTCATATCGTTTTAGTAAGGTTTTATAAGTGATTGTTATTTATTTTTTTGTATTGTAATATATTCATAAAAAAAATTGTTCAGAGAAGAATT